TTACCTGGCTGGATCATGCATTCATTAATTCAGAAAGACAACTAATATTTATCAAGGGCTGACTACGTGCCAGGCCCAGGACTGTGGGGCAAGCATTGGTGTGGGTACAGGGAGCTGCCACAGTCACTTTGCCTTTTGCCTTCAGCCTCTTTCTGTCTTGTCCAACTTGAGTACTTATGAGCAATGTAATCACTGGGCCACCCTGTTCCCACCAAGACCATTAGCAGAACACATTCCCTCATTTGGTGGTTAGTGCCTTCTGCCACTTGTATGTCTGCCTCTTCTCCCACAAGGTCTGGGTGCTGGAGACAGATCATGCCTGAAGATGCCACTTCCTGTGAATGTCCCACTGTCTGCCTCATGTATCTTCTTGTAGGGGATACTTTCATGTTAGATATTAGGGCAGTAATCTTCTCAGATAGGAATGGTGAAATAACCATTTCAGTATTGTGTCAGATGCTGTGCAGAGCACTGTGTATGAGTAATTTCACGTAGCCCCCACACCAGCCCAGTCCAGGAAGTTTTATCCACACTTTATATGCAGCTCAGGGAAATGAGGCTCAGGAAGGTTTAGAAGCTTGCCCAAGGTCACACAGCTGCAAAGTTGCACAGGTTTGAACATACATCTATGCAACTCCCAAAGCCCATTCCATTAACCACTCATATTACAGACAAGCCCCAGGCTGGCTCGCAGAAACCTGTATCTGGGGTGGCAAAATCTCAAGCAGCAGGTCAGAGAGACAAGTGTTGCACGTCTGCCTGTAGCCAGTGTGGGAGGGAGTGCACTGATAAGTTATCAGTTTGCTGTGGGTGTGTGTAGGAGGGGAACAATGACAGCCCATGGTGTGTGTGACATCAATATCCATTTCATCAAACTGTACTTTCAGGGATCATTTCTATAGTGTGTCACTAGAGAAGCTCCTCTGAACGTGTAGTGCACCTGAAACCATGAGGAGGAGAAGGAGTTTTCTCTCCTGAGCGTGAAGTTGGCTTTTGGTGTTGCTTCGGTGACTGCCATTGGCCATCGATGATTGTCCTTCTCTCTCCTTGGAGGGAGTATGGGGGAGAAAGCACTGTCTGAGTGGGGAAAAAATCCGTTTCATCCATACTGCAGCTGGTTACATGTGTGTATTAGCTTTCAATTGCTGTTGTAATAAATTACCACAAATTTAGTGACTTAAACAGCACAACTTTATTATGTTAAAGTTTTTAAAAGGATTTTATTTATTTTTAGAGAGGGGAAGGTAGGGGAAAAGAGATGGAGAGAAACATCAATTGGTTGCCTCTCATACACACCCCAACTGGGACAGAACCCACAAGGCAGGTGTGCTTCCCAACCAAGAATCAAAATGGCAGCCTTTGGTTTTGTGGAATGATGCCCAACCAACTGATCCACACTGGTTGGGGCTTTCTCTGAAAAGTTTTTGAAGTCAGAATTCCAAAATGAGTGTTATGGGACTGAAATCAAGGTGTTGGCAGGTTTGGATCCTTCTGGAGACTGGAGGGGAGAATCCCCTTTTCTTTTTTTCCCCCTTTTTCAGCCTCTAGAGGCTGCCTGAATTTGTAGGCTAATTAGCCTCTTCTTCCTCCACCTTCAAAACCAATAGCACCGCATCTTTAAATCAGTGTCTCTCTGTTTCTCCTTCTCTCTGCCTTCTGCTTCCATTATCATACCTGCTTCCATGATCATATCTCCTTCAGACTCTGCTTTTCCTGTCTCCCTTTTGTAAGGACCTTTGTGATTACCTTGAGCTGACCTGTGTAATCCAGAATAATATCATCTCAAGATGCTTAAAATGAATAACATCTACATTTTTTTGTAAAGAAAACATTGATAGGTTCTTGGGATTATGATGTGAGCATGTTTGGGGGTTCTGTTATTCTGTGCAGTGCACAGTGTAAAGAAAAGAATAGTGCTCTGTGGGCTAGCCTGGACACCATAGCTCAGCCTCCTGGGGGCTCTGGAGTAGTGGAAGTATTATTCAGGAGTGAGCTGAGGACCACCCAATGAACCACCTGGCTGATGCATGTACTGAGAAGCCATGCCTTCTGTGACTTCCAAGAGTGAAAGGTCTTCAGAGTGCATGCAAGAGCTGGTGCCTGCAATGATATTTTTTGCTTCCAAGCTCCATGCAGGTTTGGATGGTCACAGGGTCTTTTGGTATCTGATTTTCTGTGGAATCAGAATTACCATTTTATATCTACATTGGCAGGCATGCTGTGCCAGTGAAATTACCATGCTTGCATCAAATGAGTATATGCGCAGACTGATGTATCAGCAATACAATGTGATAGGGGCTGGAGTAGGGTGGGAAGCACATGGGGGAGCAGGATTAGGGTGATAGGAAGGGCTTCCCGGGAATATGAAAGAGCTCAAGAGCGTGCTGCACGGAAGTGCAGTACCCAGAAGGGTTTGGAAGAGGGTAGAAAGGAGTTGCCACATCAGGAATGGTTTAGGAAGGTCAGGGAGCTTGTTGTGGGCTTGGAGCAAAGGAATGAGAGCAGATTTGCACATTAGTAGCCAGTCTCTTGAGGTCAGGATCCAGGTCTAGTTCAGGGCTAAGTGCCCAGCCCATCAGGGCCTAGATGGAATGCTCAGTGAGTAGAGAAGGACACTGCATGCAAGCCTCACCATCCTTTGAGGCCAGTTCATTTGGAACAGCTCCACACACATCACAGACCTTATTTGGAGGGATTTAGGTTGTTGTATATACAAGTGATATAGAACATCTCACTGTCTTGGGCTCCTTTCCATGCTACATTGCTCATTGCAAGTGCCTAATAATTTTCTGTTAAAAACATGTTGCAATAGAAATATAGGGAGGACAGGAAAAAAAGAGGAAAAGCTGACAAAGTCCTACAAGTAAGGTGATTGGTCACCAGGGTCCTATGTATCATGGAGCATGCTGTTAAATGGAATGCATTTCCCTTTTGAAAAGTGCTTCTTTTTCATGGCTTCACAAGATACGCCGTACATCCTTCCCACAGGGAAGTCATGCAAACTGTCTTTTAAAAAAACTCAGGGGAGGAGACCTGGACCTACTGGATCAAGTGGTTTGCCATTGGTATCCAGCTGGAGGATAAAAAGATTGAGATACTTACCTTGGCCTCTAGATTGCATTTTTGTTTCCCTCCCATGATGTTCCTTTTCCTGTCCATTCTAACTCAGTTATCCTTCCCTCTTTGAAGCATCTGATGTGGGTCATCCTTACCCTTGGTTCATCCTTCCTGAGGTGCTGTCTGTGGCATTTCATATGCTGTATGCTTATTTATGGCTGGCTCTCCCCCCTCTACATATATCTTGTATGACGTCTACATTGAGACTTCTTGGAGGGCTGGATATGATTTGGGATTTGTCTGTGTGCCCTTTGTGTGATCCACATATCTAGTTACTTTGCTCCTCAGGGCAGGGACAGTGGCTGCTTTGCTCACCACTATACCTGGCTCCTAATGGATGGTGGGTGAATTTGTGTCCTGGGGATTTGTAAGGGAGGGGGAGGGTATGGTTTGGGTGTGGGGATTGTATTGTCTCTGGCCTCCTGGTTGGTCCAGTTGCTCTGGTCTTGGCCATCTGGAAGTTGAGTGTCCTGTAGTTGCACAGACTGGCCTGGTCTGTAAGCAGTTATGGCAGAGTTTAGGCTTTTAATAAGGTAACAACACTTTCCAAAGTTTTTCAGTTCAGGTGAGAAATTCTGGAATCTTGTATAAATGTGGGGGAAGGGAGGATGGAAGAAGGAAAGCTGGAGAAGGAGGGTGACCAGCCCAGGAGTTCTTGGGCTGGTATGCCATGCTGACTTAGATTTTGTTGCTGTTCACTCCTCACTTTAATTAGAATGGTGTGTGTGTGTCTCCATCTGTCCCTTTCTGCACATCTGTGCTTTCCCAAGGTCCACGTTTATCTGAGCTCAGGGATACAGTTTCAGTAGGCGTGCCTGGCTTCAGGGTAAGCAGTGTGAGCATGCCTGCAGCATATGGATGTGCTGGGGCTGTGGTCTGAGACCCTGGGCTCCATCAGAAGCGTTCTGCACTTTTTGTCTCGGTGTAACAATTGCCCATTAAATACCAGGCTGTCAGCATATGGTTTCCCCAACATCCCCCTTGTTGAGTGGAAACTTCAGCTGTGTGGCTAGAATATTTTCCCATCATTTAGCATTTCAGAATTAACATATTTTGGAGAATCTGCAATTAATGCTGAATAGTGCACTTTCAGATAACTATAGAAACAGTTAAGTCAGAGTCGGTAGATCTGTAGCTACTCTTTCCCATAATGGATAAGTGGTGGGTTAGGAAAAGGCGGGGCTAACAGGAGGATTCCGGGGCTCCCTCTGCGGATGCTGTAATTAAAGTGGGAAGTCTGGTGGAGTTGTTATCCCTGCTGTTAAGAGTGCAGATGGCTAACAGCCACATCACCAAGAGTTAAGAGTTAGACCTTTTAAAGTCTTTTTTTCTTTTATGACCCACCCTATATATTCCAAGCAAATGTATGGATGCAGTGAAGAATTTTCTCATTAAAAGTAACAGCTTGTTCCCACACTCATTCCTGGTCTTGGAATGAGAAACCTGTTTCCTTAGACTTGAGGAATTGCCTATCTGTTGTGACTTAATAGAGCTTTTGGATGAGAGTGCCTGGTTAACAAATTTTATAACCAATCAGTGCTCAAAGCAGATCCAACTGGTAGGGCTCCAGCTGGCAACTCATCTCTCTCCCAATTTTACTGTTAATGAATCATTATTTAAGCCCCAAATACAGAACAGTCTGCTCCTGTTGTCTTAGGGGAAGTGAGTGCTCATGATCCCCATGGCCGGACAGTTAGGAATCTCCTGGGCTGCAGGGAGTCTGGCAGCCAGAGGGGACGGCGTGGATGGAAAGAGTGAAGTGCTGCTCAGTGACTGGCATGACCCTGGGTTTCTGCAGTCGTGCGCGTTTTGACTCCATGAAGATCTGTGCCGGAAAAGCAAATTGGCTTCACTCCTCATCATGTTTTCCTGTTTTCCCACAGGGAGTGGGGCCAGCTAGCAGAAACAGCGGGCTGCACAATATCACCTTCAGATATGACAGTAAGTAACTGCCTTGACCTCCAAAGAGTGAAGCCCTTTGAGCTTATACGGTTGTGCTTAATCAAGGATGCTGTGGGTCCTGGGGTTAAGGAATTTCTGAACCTGCTTAGATTTGTCAGCAGAGCTAAAGTGGCTCAGTCTGAACTAAGCCACTCGAGAATTTGGGACAGGTCAAGTGTCCTCTGTAGTGGTTAGAGAAGTTGTGTATGGAGACCTCCCCTGATTTCCTCAGGACATGGTCATGTTCTTAAGAACAAACACAGCTGTCTGTGGGACCCAGCAGGCAACACAGGCATGAAGCTACTCAAGTGCAGGATGCAGGGCATGGTGGGACTGTGGCATCCTGGATGGGCATGTTTGGTCGCAAAGCAGCACTGGCTCCTCCGTTCCAGCTGCTTGTGGCCTTGAGGAATCCCCCCAAGTATTACTAGAAATGATTTCCAAGAAGAGTAGGAGATTTGCATTTTCTTGTATGAACATTTTTTTTAATATTGGCATTTATTTAAAAATTGTCAGAAACACAGAGTGGGCCAAGTGAATCTGGGTTCCTGACCAGCCCAGGGGCCTTTGGTTGGCTGTTTCTGAATCAGGCCTGGGTTCCAAACGTAGTTCCCCACTTACCAGCTGTGAACTGTGGCAGGTGATTTGAGTTCTCCAAGTCTCAGTTTTCTCATTGTAAAACAAAGATTAATTTCTTCCTCAGCATCTTTTTTTTCTTGCATATGAGTGTCATAGTTTAATGCATGTAAAGTATAAAAGTAAGCAGAACCAATCTAAGTCATTCCTCAGCATTTTGAGGTTTAAACAGGTAATCTTAATATCTATTAATATTAGAAGTTATTCAAACTAGAGTTGAAATACAAGCACCTTTTTGACCCCTTCTCTCAGGGCTTCCTGGCTGACTTGTTTTCTGAGAGCAAGTTGGGGTGCTTTTTCTGATTAAGCATACACAACCCCCTCATGGGCTTTCATCCCCAAGAAAGTAATTATATAGAACTGTGAGCATTTTAGCCTTATGAGCCATAACTTAAAAGTGAAAATGACAAGAAGGAGGCTGACTCATATTTAGTGATCCCTGACATTTGATTTATCTCTTGGAGATGGTTATGAGTTCATGTAATAAGTAAGAGGTGTAGGTCACGGGAGGCCTCTGGAATGATCACAACTAAAGCAGGGTTTTCCACATGGCATATACAATCTAACAATTTTAAGATACAATTATATATGTCAAATTAATGCCTGCAGTGGCTGATGTGGATACTTTAAGTTAATCAATGAGGACTTACATATGAAACAGTCATTGCATGTTAGTGGTGTGTGCATGTTTTTGGTAAATGCTGTGATTCTAATGAAGGATTTGCAAGTCCATGATACATAATTCAGCTAAGTAGAGACATGTGTAAGAGACCTTTGATTTAGAAAGTTAATTTCTAGTATATGTTCTTGGTCCTGGCAGATCTTGTATTACATTCAAGAGTTCCTATTTTCTGTTCACCTGCAAACAAGTTTTTGCATCTCTGATTTAATACGGTGATTTGTGAAAGAGGATCTATACCTGTAAAAAGCATTTTATTGTTTTCTTCATGGGACTGGATATTTGTCCCATGTGCCAGTGCCTATCTCTTACTCATTATTTTCTTTCTAATTCTTCAGCATTTATTTAGAATTTAATTCACAACTCATAATGATTCCTGAGACATCTAAATTGAGTTGAATTTTGGCAAAATGTCCTTTTGGGCACAATTTTTTGTAACTAAAATTCAAAATGTTAGATTTGCTAATAATTGGATACAATCTGTGTAAAGTACATCCATTGTTTTCCATCAAGAAAGGTATTTCTCTCCTTTCCACAAGGAAGTTCCTGTTATTGCTTAGTTGACTGGTTACTAATTCTGTTTGAAATAACTAAGAACCAATTACCAAGTTTTCACCAAAAGTATTAAACTACAAAACTTGTTATTTTTTATTCCTTTGCCATTTAATGCTACAAAGAAAGAAAATATCTTGCTATTAAATTAAAACCAAATTTCACAGGTCTCTTTGCCTCCTTTCACATTGCATTTCTTGTTTCTTCTTCAGCCTCTGAGGGGGTAATGCCTGAGTAGGTTGTAATACATTTTCTTAATTCTTAGACTTTTTATTTGCATAATTTTATTTACAGAAAGCCAGAGAATACTAATTTTGGCATTAGGAATGAACAAAGAAAAAGACCCCATGATTTCCTCTTGTTCATACATCTTTTCCTAAAGCTGAAGACAAAGATTTCTCTTTCACTGTAGACCTCAATAAATGAAAATGTTTGAACTTTACAAGCGTGATGGGGTCTTGTCCTTTTTCATATTGGGAAACTGGGCTCAGCCAGGAATTTTGCAGACTGAGCTCTTCTGATTCAGAACTCATTTGAGTAATAGGGTCTGTGCTGAGGATGGTAAGAGCCCTGCATTGAGAGTGAATTTTCATCAGAGGAGACTTCAGTTTTATTATTAACATCTTTTCAGAATAAGTAATATTATAATGTTGAGGGCTGTTTTTGAAGCAGCTAGGAGTACACCTAATTTGGAAGGCAAGATAGCAGGATACAAAGTAGTGCGGGGGATCAAGTTTTAAAACAGAAGGGTGTGCCCTGGCTGATGTGGCTCAGTGAATTGAAATGGAAAGGTTTCCAGTTCGATTCCCAGACAGGGCACATGCCTGGGTTGTGGGCCAGGTCCCCAGTCGGGGGTGCATGAGAAGCAACCATACATTGATGTTTCTCTCCCTCTCTTTCTCCCTTCCCCTCTCTCTGAAAGTAAATAAATAAAACATTTAAAAAAGGGGTCCATTTTAGTGCACATGTGTTGTACTTTAATAAGAAATTTTAAAAGGAGGAGTATTGTGTGCACGTTAAAAGGCTTGAAAGGCTATCCATTAGATATTAGCAGTTACTTCTATGTGGTGAGAGGTTCTGAGTGACTTTCATATTTTTCCAGTATTCTCTTTTAATTTTTCAATATCCAATGAACATTTTAGTCATAAAAATGGCAGATGTGTGACACAGTTTGTGGAAAATACCTCTGAATGCTTCCCCTCGAAGGAAAACACCCTGATTTCAGAGGGATAACAGGTGGGTTGATGGAATGGAAGACCTTTTACAGAAGATACAAAAGAATTTTCAAGTTTAATCATTGAGAAGGAAACGAAGATGGAGCAGGAAGGATCATGAATTGCTGTCTGCCAGGGATGGCTGGTGGTTCTCCCTGCACAAATGGCCATTCTCAGAAATCCCAGCCCGAGTCTGGCTGGAGGCTTCTGGCAGCTCTTTAGGATCTTGCAGCCTTTGAAGGTATATTTAGTAAAACCAGGTGGCGCAGCTGCTCTCATTGTCATGGCTGCATTGACAGGTGGCAGTGAAGCATGTCCACAGAAAAATAAAAGAATCGGGGGTTTCATTTTTTCAGCAGTGTGGACTGTGATTTTAGTGGGTGTTGTGGGTGTCTTTGATGACATGTGTGGGAGCAAAAGTTTTACCTTTGTTGATGCTAGTTAACATTTGAAGGTGCTTTGCTTATCACTAAGTCAGTCAGTATCTTTTGTAGCTACTAATTGGATTGTTTCACAGCCTTTACTCTCCCCTGAGTTTACATCCTCATTTTATTTCCTTTTCCCCATGTACCTTGCCCTCTAGGTTTCTTATGAAAACAAGTAAACCCAGGTTATTTAGCCATTGTTTTGTTTTACCTCACTTTGTTACACTGCAAACTGATTGAGGTAGGTAAATAATTATTGATTTGGGTAAAATGTCCTAATAGTAAAAAAGTCCATGCCACATACACACACAACCCAGCCCATGTAGGATCCTTCTAACACTGTCCTGGAACTTAACTCGGGGTGGGTGGTGGTGCTGGTGGTACGAAAAATACATCCCACTGCAACCTTTGAGAATCTCCCAAACTGTCAGCCTCTGATGTCATATTTGGGCTTTTGAGGCACACAGAGTGGATTTGGTTATCTGCAGACATGCTGTATGTAATTGGAGAAGATGAACTTGTAAATAAAAACTTCTTTGAACTTTCTGTTTTTTTATCATAAAGATACAAATTTTAAAAAATGTCTTGTCATTCTATTAAAAACTACAGTTTCTAATGTGACTGTTCTTGTTCTCCCAACTCTCTAGACTGTACCACATACTTGAATCCAATGGGGAAGCATGTGATTGCTGATGCCCAGAACATCACCATCAGTCAGTATGCTTGCCACGACCAAGTGGCAGTCACCATTCTTTGGTCCCCAGGGGCCCTTGGTAAGTGGTCAAAATGGAATCCACTGTGTTGGCCTAGGTGGGTAGTGCCCAGTGCAAGGATCCCAGACCTGAGGGCCTCCAGGAGCCAGGAAGGTCTTGATGTGAGAGTAGCTTTGGTTGGTCTGGGCACAGACATGCTTCCTACTTTTATGCATACACATGCTGGGCATGCTCACGGCTTGATGCTGTGACCTGTGGCTCATCTTTTGTTCCCTTGGCTGTTAGTGAGAAAGATGTGGGCTTGAAAAATACTAGTGTGTGAGTGATAAATGTCACAGGCTTGCTTGGCCTCTGTGTCTCAGCCGTAGTGGGAGGATGGGTGGCCCATCCAAGACGTGAAGGGCTTGGCATTCAGCATTAATGGTTTCTAGCCACACAGAGATGTGCAAGACCAGCACTGGCACATTTTGTGAGTTTTCAGGAAAATCCAGTTTTCATGAGAAACCATGAAATAAACAGTTTTTAAATGTTGGCAACTAATTGAATTTTTATTAAATAGTGTGGTCTGAAAAAAAAAACAAACTGAAACAAAGAAACTGAAAAAAGCAAATCCACATTATTTGGCCAGATTCAGGTTAGGGCCATGTCTACTTGTGTTCTTTAATGAGTTGATGATACACAGGAAAGGACGGGATAGTTGTGTGGGACATGGGACAGGCCCGTTTCTTCAAATGGGCCTGAGTTTGAACCCGGATCACAAGAGATCTTCGGATCACAAGAGATCTTCAGATCTCACTGAGCCCCAGCTTCCCCATCTGTAAAGTGCAGATGACTGCCTCTTGGTTTGTTGTAAGAGTTAGAGACAAACAAGGCACATTTTTAGAGGGAGCTCTTAAAAAACCGTGGCTATTGTTATTATCATCAGAACCTGGTCCTTTGGCATTGCCATAGGATAAAAAAAAATCTGGCCAAGGGAAAAGTGAAATAAAGTCAGAATTTGAAATCTGAATGTGATAAATCTCAGAAGAACCAGATTGCAGGAGAGGTGAGTGCAGAGAGAGGGAGGATGAGTCAGACCCGTGGGCCTGACTCACTTATTCATGTAAATACTGCTGGGTCTGAATCCAATGAGCTTCCAAAAATAACATTATCTTAACATTTAAAGATGCAAACGTTCTCTGTGGATAAAAGGGAAGTGGTTGGTCCATGTAAGGCTAAATGCCTAGGGTTGACCTGATGAATTGCAGGCTCCGAGTAAGAGATGTTAGCTGGGGCAGTGAGCCAACTTGTGGAACTGTGAGGCAGAAGGTTGTGCTTTACCTGCACGATGATTTGGCGGGCGTGGGGGAGGTGGCTGGACAGGTTCTATCAGTTTCTGTGAAGTTCTGTCCAGGAAGCTCCTTGGGAGCCAGAAAAGCATATGGGTTAAGAGCATTCTGGGTTTAAATCTCACCTCTGCCATTTCATTCCTATGTGACCCTGGGCAAGTCATTTAGTGTCTACACCTCAGTTTCCTCATGAATAAAATGGGGGTAATAATACCTTCTTTCTGTGATTGTTAGGAGGATTCGATGACTTCAGTGATGGGCAAGGGTAAATACGTTCCTTTATGGGAAGCTACCCTATAGCATTGCTGCACATTATATAACTACAAGGTGCTAACAGTATTGTGATAAAGGTGTTACTGTGGTTTAAGATTTACATTTGCTGCCTCTCCCACCCACTGCCAGACTTGGTGTAGTGGGTTTTCAGGAAGGTCTTTTAAAAATAAGGACTAAAACCACCCACTGCCACCCCAGCTGATGAATTTTTATGTAATTGTGAGATATGGGTCTTTAATCATACTAATCACCTGGCTTTTGTTAAAACAGTAGTTCTGGGGGCATTACATGAAAATATTAATATAAATAGTAAGAATTTGTTTTGAAAATTGGGGGTGGGGGTGAGAGGCAGAATCTCAAAAGGCAAGTTCTTGTGAGACCTACTTAAATAGTTGCCGGATCTTGTCAGCATGTTCAGTTCTCAAGCTGTTGGTCAGCTGGTCACCCCCATAGGAAGCTTTGTGTTTGAAATACGACAGAGTCTCTACCTACACACTCTCAACTCAGACCCCCTGAAACAGGAGGCTCTACTTGTAGCTCCTTTGCCCTGCCCACCATAAAATATGTGTTCTTCATCAAACAGTTATAGGATTGGAGAATCTACTCAAAAGAGAAAGAGATTTCCCTGGCCTTTGCCATCCATAATTTTCCCACCTGGTTAATTGCATCCTGTGTAATTACTTTGGCCCAGGGAGGGGAAGGGTTGAAAATGTCTCCTTGTCTAGTGTTCAGAAAGAATGCGAAATTGATATCGTGCCAATTGAGGCCGGCTTGGGGGATCTCCAGCTGCACTCAGACCACTCCGGTCTCCGTGGGATACAGAGCTCCAGTACTGGCTCTTGTGGACATCAGAGCTTAATCCTTTTGAAAGCATCTAGTCCAACGTGCAGCAGGGGAAGCTCAGGTGGCAGGAGGCTGGGCCTGTGCCTTTCAGCAGCACTGTGGGTGTCTCGGGGCCTCTGAGTGCTGTGTGAAGAGCACACACTGGGCAGCTCTTGGGTGTCTGCCTTTCAGGCATGATTAGAGCAAGAGCCGCTTTGTAAATCACATAGGCATTCTTCTCAACTATTTAATCTCAAGCCTAGTAACCCCTTGGGTGCAGACACACACTTTGTTGGGAATTTTGTACATTGCTCACTGACACATACCAGCAAAGATAGGACTAAAACTGAAAGTGGAAACAGTGATTTGGGGAGAGTCCCTAGTCAGCATGGGGAATTATCAGTTAGATACACCCTGTTTTTAATGACCTAGAAATTATGCATTCCACAATAGACTTTTTATGTTCATTTGTGACTTGAGTCTAAATATTTGAAGCCTGATATCACAGAGGCAATGGGCATATGTGCAATGGCTGGCTGGATTAGAGCTTAATTGATTAGTAATGGTGTGACAGAGAAAATCACCTGGCCTGTACCAGAGGAATGCGGGATATATGTTTTTCCTTTCCATAAACGCAGATATTCTGGCCAGAATAATACTTCCTTTAACTGTGCCATGTAGGTAGAGAGGATAATAATGTTGGAGGAAGGAAAGTGTGTTCAAAAGTATAGTAATTAGGTCCACACTTAAAATATATATACATTTTGTTGATTCTGCTATTACAGTTGTCCCAATTTTTCCCCATTTTTCTCCCTCTGCCTGGTACCCCCCTTTCCTCCATGATCCCCCCACACTTAGTTCATGTCCGTGGGTCCTGCATATAAGTTCTTTGGCTTGTCCATTTCCTATACTGTTTTTAACCTCCCCTTGTCTATTTTGTACCTACCATTTGTACTTCTTACTCCCTGTACCTTTTCCCCCATTCTCTCCCTTCCCCCTCCCAGCTGGTAACCCTCCAAATGATCTCCATATCTATGATTCTGTTCTCATTTTTAGTTGTTTGCTTACTTTGTTTTTGATTTTTAGGTTTGGTTGTTGACAGTTGTCAATTTGTTGCCATTTTACTGTTCGTAGTCTTGATCTCCTTCTTTTTCTTAAATAAGTCTCTTTAATATTTAATGTAAATAATGGCTTAGCAATGAATTCCTTTAGCTTTACCTTGTCTGGGAAGCACTTTATCTGCTCTTCAGTGCTAAATGATAACTTTGCTGGATAGAATAATCTTGGTTGTAGGTCCTTTCTTTTCATCACTTTGAAAACTTCTTGCCAGTCCCTTTTGCCTGCAAAGTTTGTTTTGAGAAATCAGCTGACAGTCTTATGGGAACTCCTTTGTAGGTAAATCAGGGCTTTTCTCTTGCTGCTTCTAAGATTCTCTCTTTATCTTTAACCTTTGGCATTTTAATTATAATGTGTCTTGGTGTGGTCCTCTTTGGGTCCAACTTTTAGTAAAAGCATTCTGTTTTGCTTAGGCATCGAATTCCTGAAAGGATTTCGGGTAATACTGGAGGAGCTGAAGTCAGAGGGACGACAGTGCCAGCAACTGATTCTGAAGGACCCAAAGCAGCTCAACAGTAGCTTCAAAAGGACTGTAAGTCACACGTAGGGAATGTGCTCCTGAAGACACGCATTGTTTCAGGGGCCTGAATGGTCTATTCACAGTCTGTGAAACTGGAGAAGGGGGGGCTTTGAGGTCTGCCCCACCTGCCAAGGTGGACAAGAATGGCCGGCAACACTGCCAGCCTGCTCCATACTCCCTGAGAAATCCTCCCGCACCTCTCAGTGGTAAACACACCTTGGGTTACGTGCTGGAACAGCCATCCTGGAAGGTGCTTTGTGCTCTTTGGCTTGTATGTGGGCTCCTTCCTACCATCTTTGAAGTTCAGTGTTTACAAGTTCTGTCTTCCTTGCCAAAAACAGACAGCATTGTTGATCTTCATTTCATTGAGGTATCCATATCTAACCTTGGTCCAAAAAATAGACCTGATTTCCTCCTTCCCCAAGACACACCCCCCAGCTCTGGAACTGTGGCTGGGTGATTGTCAGGGGAGAATGAAGCTCTCTCTGGTAGGTGGAGGGGTGGGTAATTTCTCCATGATGTCACCTGTGTTTTTGTTCCCGTTTAGGGAATGGAATCTCAACCTTTCCTGAATATGAAGTTTGAGACGGATTACTTTGTAAAGATTGTTCCTTTTCCTTCCATTAAAAATGAAAGCAATTATCACCCTTTCTTTTTCAGAACCCGAGGTGAGTATGACCTTTTCTTCCTGGTTCCCATTGGGAGACTTCTTTTAATTTTTGACAGACATGTATTCAGGAGTCCACAAAATACTGGTATGAAACCAGCATGGTGAAGAGAAAAGCATCCAGAAAAGCAACTTTTAGAATTAAGATTCGGCACAGGAAGCATTAATCTAACCAGAAACACCCATTCCTGGTCTAGAGTAGACATGATGGTTGATTTTTTTAGAGGGTGTTTTAGTCATACATAAAAACCATTTGATTTAAAAAATAGGAATAAACCCTGGCTGGGTAGCTCAGTTGGTTAGAGCAAGGGTGTCAAACTCATTTTCACCGGGGACCATATCAGCCTCACAATTACCTTCAAAAGGCCAAATGTAATTTTAGGACTGTATAAATGTAACTACTCCTTAACTGTTAAGTGAGAGCTTGGTGCTGCTGCTGGGTAGAAACAAAGTGCTGGGCCAGATAAAACAAGGTGGAGGGCTGGATTCGGCCCACGGGCCTACTATTTGCCATCTGTGGGTTAGACCATTGCCCTGATACACCGAGGTTACGAGTTTAACCCACAGTCAGGGCACATATAAGAATCAACCAATGAATGCATCATCAAGTAGAACAACAAATCCATGTTTCTCTCTCTCTCTCTCTGTCTTTCTCTGCCCCTTCCTCTCTTTAAAATCAACAAATCTAAAACAATAGGAATAAAAAGTATACGTTGATTTTTGGGGTGAAGAGTAGAGCATAAAATAATTGCATCGTTTATGTGTCATCAGGTGGGTAGCCTTGGGGAGGGATTACCTGCCATTTTCAGGATTAGATTAGGAAATTCAAGCAGTGTGCCTGAGGTCACTTCTTCCTAGAAATTTATTGTCTCTACTTATTTATTTTGCACCTATGTGCCAGGCCCTGTTCTAAATCTTTCTAAATATTAAGTCAGTCAAATTCCCCCATGACGCAGGTTCGATTCCCAGTCAGGGCACATGCCTGGGTTGCAGGCCATGGCCCCCAGCGACTGCACATTGATGTTTCTCTCTCTCTCTCTTTCTCCCTCTCTTCCCTCTCTAAAAATAAATAAATAAAATAAAATCTTTTTTAAAAAGAAGTGAATATGTATTAAAAAAAATTCCCCCATGACAACCCCACAAAGAATTGGTAATTGGATGCAGAATCACACACAGAGAGGGCTTTCCGGAGCTGGGGTTTGAACCCCAGAGGTCTGTCTCTCTATCCACACTCTCAAACCACTCCCCAGAAACCATGCTGGGTTCCCTTTTCTGCCTGGCTGTCCCTTTCCATGTTTTGCATGTAGTGTCTCTTTTGTCTCCCTGAATCACCATGGTGGTGCCCAGATACCCTGCAAGCTTCAGCAGTGCTCTCTTGCCTGCCTGGTCAGCCTTCCTGTCTGCCATTCCAGGGCAAGCAGTCGGTACGACCCAGCATCCCCTCCTGTGTGGTCTAGTTCCTGTTCTTCTCCTTTGAGATGTTTTTTTGTCAACTCCAGCCTTCATCAGTGTTTCCTTCCCTTTGAAGAATTTTTACTCTGGTTGTTTTCTTCTGGTCTTACTTGCTTTTTTTTTAAACTGTGGTTGTTTTCCATGCAGCAAAGGTATTTTATAAAAATTGGTCTTATTTTCTTAATTAAATAAGATTCCATGGGGAAAAGACCATTAGCATGTAACCATATCTTTTGGCACCTGACATGTAACAACCAGATAGAGTATTCAAAGCATGTGTTCATGAAAAGTTTCCTTAAATCAAACCTAGCATAATTTAAGATTAATTTTTCCCATCAGAATCAGTCAGTGTGTCTATCTGGATGTGAGGCAGAGGCAGGAGATGTGTTTTATCACTATTTCAGTGCAGTGACCTTGAGTCTGCCTTCTGTTTTCTTGGAATTGTATGGACATTTCCCAGAGGTTTCTCCTGGGTTAGCAACATGGCATATTGAACCAGCTGTTTGGCCTCTCTCATTGAGTTTTTATTGCATTGCAATCTTGTTTCAAAGCTACTGGCTTTGGTGCCTGCTTTGCAGCATTGGTGCTACTTCTTAGTAGATACCTGATGTCACTTTTAGATTCCATCAAAAGGATTTTAGATTAGAATGCTAGTGAAGGTTAAAGTAAACTTGATCTAGCCCTGGCTGGTGTGGCTCAGTTGGTTAGGCATCGTTCTGCAGACTGAAAGGTCATGGGTTCAGCTTCTGGTCAGGGCACATGCCTGGGTTGTGAGTTTGGTTCCCAGTCATAAATGCTTCTTTCTCACATCAGTGTTTCTCTTTCTCTCTCCCTTCTCTTCTCTTTAGAATCACTAAGAAAGAAAAAAAATGGAGATGATAATGGCACCAACTTAAAAAAAATAACCCTGAGACAGTTAACAGCCTCCTGTGCCTAAACACCTCCATGGTGGGACAGGGGCCAGCAGCTTCTGTCACAGCTGAAACGGCATCCATGTGGCACTAGTATGGACAAGGTCCTGCTGCTCTTGGCTGCTGAACTTGAAACTGCATAATCCTTGACAAGCTTTTAAAATCTGGGTGACTTGGTAGTGCTTTTTGGCATAAAATGAACAGCATTAATATTTTATATGGTACAGTTAAGGTCTTCATGAGATACAACTGCGCTATACTGAAAATCATTGTTGAATTGATGTATTTTATACTCTTCCCAGCCGCACCCAGTGCCAGATAGTTATATTTTACTGAATTGTTGGACAAGAAAAATGTCAAACTGTTCTATAACCAAAAATATACACCTTTCTTAATAGCCTGTGACCTGTTGTTGCAGCCAGACAACCTGGCCTGTAAACCCTGTAAGTATAGCTGTTCTTGTCTCAAAGTGTTGTCCTGCGCCCACCCCCGCCCTCCCATGGTGTCGGCTGGCCTCAGGTGCTAACTTGGGTGCTTTGTCCTCCCAGTCTGGAAGCCTCGAAACCTGAATGTCACCCAGCACGGTCTGGACATGCAGGTGTCCTTTGACCACGCACCGCACTCCTTTGGCTTCCGTTTCTTCTATCTTCATTACAAGCTCAAGCACGAGGGACCCTTCAAGTGGAAGACTTGTAAACAGGTTAGTTGTACATAAAGAAATACTACATGTTTTAAAGTGACCCCTGTACCCCTAGAATTTGGATGGTTCAATTTGAGCGTTAGGTGTTGTTGACTCTCAGCAGTCAGTAGGTATTCCAGAATATTCTTTGGTGTGTCTCAGGCCACCTTGCCATCATCCCTAACTCCCCAGTTATCTACACCCCAGCTATCCTGGTGGTAATGTAGCCCAGTAAAAATATTACCAAAGGACCAAAATAATGAAGTATCTCTAGTTTGTTCTTTTATATTTAAACATTAATCAGGTGCCCACTGTGTGCCAGTCACCAAGCTTTACGCTCATTGAGTCCTTACAGCCCTATGAAACAGAGACTGCTGTCATTCCCACTTTACAGATGAGGTTCAGGGAGGTCGCCTGGTTTGCTCAAGGTCACAGAGTAAGTGGAAAAACTATGTGGAAGAGCCATATCACTAGCATTTCAGTGGGTGCTGATTTTACACATAGGCTAAGGTTAAGTAGAACTCAGTAACCAAGTTCTTTAAACTGGGGGCAGTCAAAGGGAATGGGAAACCCATTTTTTTTTTTTAGCTTTGTAAAAAGTTTTTATTTTTAAGTTTTTAATTGCATTTTTTCCGTTACTATTTAGTCCCTTTATATACCCCCTTTCTTCATGCCATTGCGCTCCCCCATCCCCAAATATCACACTGTTGTCCATGGAAGCTCACTGTACTCTAAGATCGCCCCCTGGGAGCACCGAGAGAGGTTTTTAGTGGGCGTGGAAGACCCCAGCATCCTCCTAGGCTTGCTCCTGTGTGTGTTGAGTTTTGCTTTCCTGCTGGCTCTCACCTATTCATTGACCTTTGATCTTTGCTCAAGTTAAAATGACAGCACATAAACACACACAGACAGGTAATTTCTTTCCTCACCCTTTCATTAAGTAAAGGGTATTCTAACTACATAGTTTCAATCAAATATTCCTGCTAAGGGCGCCACCAGCTACGTGTTCAATATGAAAGGGGTCCCAGACTCTCCTGGGCCTTTTATCAAAGTGGAGTCCTGGTAAGGTGGCAGAGAAACACAGTTGCTTTCTGACCTGATTGATGCCTTCTGAAAACGTGTGTGAGACTGGTGGCACAGCTCCTTCAGTTCTGGGGAGAAAAGAGTCCTGATGATCTCTATACAAGATCCAAGTTTTAAGAATATTATTTCTTTGCAGGAGCAAAATACAGAGACAACCACCTGTCTCCTTCAAAATGTATCTCCAGGGGATTATATAATTGAGGTATGTATAAATTAAGAAAGCTCTGTTATTAATTCTACAGAATGAGTCCAGTTCATTTAGAAATCCAACTGTTAACTAAAATTTCGAGCCATTGAAGGTGTGCAGTTATATTTTTACATGGGCCTTAATATGCTTTTTAAAAACTTTATATAAAATTGATATTTGATTTTTTCATTAAATATTTCAAATAAATATTTTTATGTAACCATACAGTCCACATAACCATGATTTTAAATTCTATATAGAATTCTTTCTTCCTTACAAAGATATATTTTTAAAGGTTTACCTTCTAAAAAGTCTTGTTTTGGTAATAAAACAGCAAGGCAAAAGTTATGCCTATTATGTCTGCCTATACTTCTCCAGGTTTCTCCCTGACATTCTTCTGTATAAATTTACATGAGTTCCAAGTTCCACTTAAAAGAGCATGTAAATGATATACTTTTCTTTTCTTTTTGTAAATTTCTTTTCTAGTACCAAAAATATTACAAAAATAGGAGTAAAAGAAAAATAGACATTAAAAATGTGCCCATAGCCTTCTTATTCAAAGATGAACAACGTATCTTAAAATTTTGGTAGAAACACCTAGTTCTTGCATGACTCTGTAACAATATGTGGTTTTGAACAGACACACCCTCTTAAAGCATTAATGGAGGTCCAATATGATCAGTGATAAGATGCCATTCTAATAGAAAAATTGTTAGAACATGGACCTCACTAACTGATTTCATCAGTGAATAAGCCACCTTTTGATTTATGAAGAAGTCAAGACTTGTGAGCTGGTAAAGCAGAGATGTGTATGGCCATCAGTGGACAGCCTCCCCTCATGATCACAGACAGCAGCCCTCCTTTCCCTCACCCCATCCTTCCTGCCGCCCCACACTGCCCTGAGATGACAAAAGAAGGAAATCTGTTGAGATGCTATCATTTAAAAAAATAACACAGCACCCTCTGTTTTGCAGCTGGTGGATGACTCTAATACAACAAGGAAAGTGATGCATTATACCTTGAAGCCAGGTAAGAATCTTTCTGTTTGAAATGTTGGCTCTCGACTATAGTACACCAACACATCTATACCTAATGGTTTATAAAAACAAAACACAACAAAACTTGAGCTCCTCTCTCAAAGGATGTTCAGTTAAATCTGACTTTCCTCCACCCTAATGCAGATGCCTGTAAGATCAAAGCCAGTGTGGTGTGTGTTGCTGGAACTAAATAGTCAATTGTCCTTGGAAGAAAAGTGGTGGTGGGAGGGGGAGGTTTCCTTAGGCAAAATTCTCACTGAGAGGTATTTACAGTTAGCAGACTAACTGTTGAATTGTTTCTTCAAAATGAATCCTTTTTAAATGACTAAACCAGTACTAGAGAAAGGTGGGCAAGGAGTCCTAGAACCTGTTATGTGGCTTATGTTGAAAAAGAAAAAAAAATCTCTTTGAAGCTGCTGTGCTGTTTAAGTTTAAAAGCCCTCCCTTTGAAATTTCCCAGTGCATTCCCCATGGGCTGGGCCCATCAGAGCCATAGCCATCACTGTGCCGCTGGTGGTCATATCAGCGTTCGCAACACTCTTCACTGTGATGTGCCGTAAGAAGCAACAAGGTATGTGTGTGGTGTGTCCCTCCCCCCGGGCACAGGACCGGAGTGCTTGGTCCCTCCAGGTGGGCATCTGGGAAACTACATAGTGCCTTTGTCAGTTTCCTGACTACAGTACTTTCTAGAATTAAAATGCTTGACTTTTAACCTCAGGAGCCACTAAAAGGACAGGCATATCTCTGTTCTCAAACTTGGGGTAGTAAATTCAAGAGCATCAAGGAAGTCTAAAGATATGAATAAGGGTAAAGGTAAGGCTTGATCACTTATAAAAGTCAAGTGTCAGGAGGGAACCTTCTGGGGAGTTGGAAATGTTCTGTATCTTGACCTAAGTGGCGACCACACAAGTGTATACTTGGATAAGAAATTGAGCCCTGGGTGGTTTGGCTTAGTGGATTGAACACCAGCCTGCAAACCAAAGAGTTGCTGGTTTGATTCCTAGCCAAAGCACATACCTCCCAGTAGGGGGCACATGAGAGGCAACTACACATTGATGTTTCTCTCCCTCTCTTTTCCCCTCACTTCCCTTCTCTCTAAAAGTAAATAAATTCTTTAAAAAAACTTCTTACTAAAAAAATAAAAATGGAGATGTACTCTTAAGATTTGTGCATTTTACTCTTGTAAGTTATACTTCAATTTGAAAAAGTGCCTTTTTAAAAAAGGTATGCTCTGCCAATGCTGATTGGACTAGTTAGTAGGTGCACTTCGTTTTAAGAGTTGCTTCTGGGTGCTGTTTGCTGATAGTGTGGTCCCTAAAGTGTGTTTGGTTTGCTCATCTAAAATCTTGGTCGATTATAGGTGAAGAACAAATTTTGACCGTTTTTTGCTCCACTAGATAAATCAGCTGTCCCATTCCCAGTGGTGACCCAGCAGGGCTGGTTAAGTTGGGGAACTGGGAGTACTCTAAGTGGTCATGTCACCTTCTGTTTCTTAAAGATAACATTAGTTCCCCAGTCTTAGGGAACAGGACAGAGTGTTGCTCATAGCTATCAATCCTATCTTCTTTTCCAATTTAGAAAATATATATTCACATTTAGATGAAGAGAGTTCTGAGTCCTCCACCTACACTACAGCACGTCCCAGAGAGAGGCTCCAGCCACGGCCAAAGGTCTTTCTCTGCTATTCCAGTAAAGATGGCCAGAATCACATGAATGTTGTCCAGTGTTTTGCCTACTTCCTCCAGGACTTCTGCGGCTGCGAGGTAAAAATCTAAAATCTTTTCCCTTACCTTTTGTGGGTCACATGCTCTGCACCCTCTTCTGTCTATCTTATCCCTGCCTCCAGGCCTCATTCGGTGGCACCTGCTCTCCAGCAGTTCCTGGCTTCCAAATGGGGGTCAGACTTGCATTCTTCTTTCAGTCTGCCCTACCCATCACCAAAACTAAATGCTTTCTAATACTCAGTTCTAACTCTGACACTGTCCTGCTCAGAAGCCTTGGGCGGCACTTACCTGACAGGAAGTTATGTGGTGGTGGTGTGTGTGGGGGTGGGGGGAGGGGGTTAGCTGGGAGAGGCAAGCTGCCCTGGGAGCATTTGGGGGAGGGGCGGGGAGGTGGTCACTTGACATATCCTGGTGAGCATCAAAGAGATAATGGCAAGTAAAGTGGATTTAACAATTTGGGGGAGTTTTGCTAAAAAGGGAAAATAATACATCATGGTTTCTTACCTGTTCTTTTTAGTTAAGCTATTCATATAGAGATTGTTTATAATGTTATAGTGTTAATGTTAGAGTGAAGTCTGAAGCTATCATGGAGGGTACATTGTTTCTTACAAATGCAAGAATTATACAGTAATTGTGTAGTTAGGTTATTTGTGCCTGCTGGTAGGTAGCTCTCAATCTCTCCTTGTGGTGAGGCTGCCCTCTAGTGTCAAAAAATGTATTTACAAGGCTGGCTCCGTTTCCCAATGTAGGAAGGTAGAGAGGTTGGCAGATAAGCCCATGTGCTGAAAAACAATGGCAAACTTGAGCAGGTACCACACACTGTCTTCAGACACAGACAACCTCATTTATGTGTGTAATACTGTAGAAAATTTTGAAACTAGAAAAAGATGAGGAAAAGTAGCCTGAAACATCAACCTGAAAAAAAGAGGAACCATGGTTAATATTCGGTGTATGTCCTTCCAGTCTTTTTCTACGTGGATGAACTCATACATACAGTTTGTGTTTGGGGTAGCTTGGAATTATTTTTTCTGTCTCTTTAATAACTTTTTACACAATCAGCAGTTTTGCATAAACTGTCATTTTAAATAGCCATGTGATCCATGATGTTATTTCAAATCGTTAAACATCTCAGTAGTTCATTTTTGCTTCATTTCTGATGATTTTCCAAAGATAAATGCCTGAAATGGAATTGCTAAATCAAAGACAGGAACATTTTTTAAATGCTTGGTATATAATCCCAGTTAGTTTTTAGAATGTATGTTTGGAAGAATTAGGGCAAGTGTAAGACAAATTTAGGATTATCTTTAGCAGGTGGATAGATGTTTGGGGTTTCTTCTTTTTGGTAACACCTCAGAGCAGAAGAGGAAGACAAAGTCATTTCAGATCCCCACCCCCCTTAACAGACTATGGCTGCATGTTTGGGCATAGCCACTGGGAATTCTGAACTACAGAAGGGAAGAGAAAGGTACAATTACAAAGAAATGACTTCAACAGAATCAGGTGAGAATGGTCTGGGGAGGTGAAACCCTCTGAGGGAGCCTGGTTTTCTTCCCCCACCTCAAATGCCCTGCCAGAATCCCCTCAGGCTTTTAGAGGCTTTATATAGATGTGACTATGTAGATCGCTGTTAGGTCCTGATGGAAGATGCTGGTCAACCCCAAGTGAGTTAACCAGAGTGGCCATGTTACTGCAGTTCACCACCCTCTTTAGTCACTGACCAACTGGTAACCAGCATGACTTTGAGAGTGAACAGGGAGGTCCTCTTGTCACATTCTTTGGACGTGAGCCACGCAGCATTGTGAGTGACTCTGGCAACCAGACCTGAGCTCCATTTTTCAACCCACTTTGGGCCCCTCATCCACATTCCTCCATCATCACCTTCCAGCTTTCTCTTCAGGACCTGTCCTCCATGTGGGCAGCCTCACTCATCAGGTGGACCAACTCCAGTGCCTCTGTTTTCATGCTCTGCACCACACTCTAAGCTCCTTGAGGATGTCATATGCATTATGTGACTTAGGCAGGTTGCTAGAAGCTTCATGCTTCTGTCTCTTTGCTTGCAGGAGTGTCAATGATCCCACATTATGCTAAATTGAGGACATGATGCAGAGGGTCTGGTATGCGACTTATCTATGGAGTGTTAGCTGTTCCTTGGGGCTGGGTAACCTTGGAGCAGCACATAGCAGTGCTAATAATGATTAAGGGAGAGATGGTGTGCCCTTCTTGTAACATTTGCTTTCTTATCCAAGGCTCCAGGCTGTATGTAAGTGTGGGTTCTTCTCTTTCCAGGTGGCTCTGGACCTATGGGAAGACTTTAGCCTCTGCAGAGAAGGGCAGAGAGAATGGGTCATCCAGAAGATCCACGAATCCGAGTTTATCATCGTGGTCTGTTCCAAAGGCATGAAGTACTTTGTGGATAAGAAGAACTACAAGCACAAGGGAGGTGGCCGAGGCTCCGGGAAAGGGGAGCTCTTCCTGGTGGCTGTGTCGGCCATTGCAGAAAAGCTCCGCCAGGCCAAACAGAGCTCATCGGCCGCGCTCAACAAGTTCATTGTGGTCTACTTTGATTATTCATGCGAGGGAGATGTTCCTGGCGTCCTGGACCTGAGCACCAAGTACAAGCTCATGGACAACCTTCCCCAGCTCTATTGCCACCTGCACTCGGGAGACCACAGCCTCCCGGCGCCAGGGCAGCACCCGGGACACGTCAGCAGGAGGAACTACTTCCGGAGTAAGTCCGGCAGGTCCCTGTACGTCGCCATTTGCAACATGCACCAGTTTATTGATGAGGAGCCAGACTGGTTTGAGAAGCAGTTCGTTCCCTTCCACCCTCCCCCTCTCCACTACCAGGAGCCAGTCCTGGAGAAGTTTGACTCCGGGTTGGCCCTAAATGATGTCCTGTGCAAACCAGGGCCCGAGAGTGACTTTTGTCTCAAGGCGGAGGTGCCCGTCCCTGGGTCTCCGGCCGACTTGCACTCGGAGGGTCAGCATCTGGGCCTAGACGAAGACGCGGAGGTCGGGCCCAGTGCCATCGGCAGCTCGGTCCTGCAGCCCCTGCTGCATGCAGTGAAAGCTGTCAGCACCTCGGGCATGCCTCGGGACTCGGGCATCTACGACTCCTCTGTGCCCTCCTCCGAGCTGTCACTGCCCCTGATGGAAGGGCTCTCAGCAGACCAAACAGAAACGTCCTCGCTGACGGAGAGTGTATCATCCTCCTCAGGCCTGGGTAAGGCACTGGGGAACCCAGAGTGCCGGTGGGTCGGTTCCAATGCAGGCCGCAGCATTTGTTCATAATTCTGAAATCTGTGAAAAGTGTTTTTCTAATTTCGGTTTGCTAGATAAGTTTGCTATTCTGCAAACTTGTCTGGCACTGAAACCTGATGGGAAGTAACACAACTGCCTTGATAGCCTCAATTTATCCCAGGTAATGGGAATGTTCACATGCGTGAGCTCATGCTAAATTACTGTGAGCACTCCAGTCCTATGTTATGTAATATAGAGTATGTGCATTATATCACCTTACCAAACTCCCAAAACATCTGAAGACCAAGATGCAGTGGGCCCCAGTGGTATTAGATGAGGTTCTGGGGACCTGGATCTTTGCTGGGATTTGCAGTGTTCACTCTTCCCCAAACCTCCCAATGTCCTTAAAGCCGTACCTGTTGAACCTGAGGTTCAGGGACACAGTAGTGTCTCCATCACAGCTTAGCACAGGCTCCAGGTAGAGCTCTGTAGGAGGACCCACTTCCCCAGGGAGCCTCTGCAGGATGCCCATGTCTGGCTGTTCCTTACTGTGCCTGTGACTAGTTGCAGTCATGCATGCAAACCCTTGACCCTCAGCTAAGGGAACTAGGGCTCCTTAGCAGCATGCATGTGCTCCATCTTGAACTGATTGGGACGCTTGCCTCGTTTGTGTAAAGCCTGTAGTCCAAACCCAGATTCTACCACGTCTGGCCTGAGTGCCCAGCCCAGTGAGGTGCAATGACATGTGGCTCTGCCCTCTCTTCTTTTCTTAGGTGAGGAGGACCCTCCTGCCCTTCCATCCAAGCTCCTCACCTCTGGGGTGTATAAAGCAGAACCTGGTTGCTACAGCTACACTGGTGAACTCTACACGGCCGCCCCTTTGTAATGAAACTGAAGAGTCTAAGCATTGCCACTTTAGCTGCTGCCTCTCTCTGGTTCCCCAGCTCATCTCTCTGGTTGGGTAGCCCACTTGGAGCTGAGGTCTCCTACCAGGATGTTTGGAGTGAAATTCATGCCAGTACTTGTTCTCCTTGCCCCTACTCTCTAACATATCTTGGCAAAGTCTTCGATTTTCTAAAACCATGTGGATCTTTGAAAGGCATGTCCATAAGATCTGACAACAGCTTGCCATGTTAGGTCAGACCTTGGATTAGAGCCAGTACTGGGAGGTAGGGAGGAAACATGTAAAGAGGGACAGGAAAATACCTGCACTGATTGTTCAGACTTAATTTATCTCTGCAGACTTTGCCCATTCACTGTTGGCTGCTTTGATTTGAAATGCTTTGTAGAAAAAGCACTTTTAATGCTATTACAACCATAGAAATCAAGTGTCAGTCTATCTGGAATCCATGTCATTATAGATATTACTGTCCATTTTTGGTGTGGCACTTATGATGCCATGGATGTGAAAAAAGGCCTAGAAGATGACTGAATATATAATCACCTTTCATAAAAATGAGTCTTTATGTATTAATAGGTGACATGCTGGCTGAGAGGGGGCGATTGCAGGGCCAGGACAATCATCTACGCCACTTTTTCTGAGATGGGTTGGTCAACATGCAATGACACCAGGGCTTAGCAGCCAGGACCACCTCCTGGTTTGAGTAGGCATCATGTAAGGGCCAGATCTGGCTGCCAGGCTTTCCTGGGCTACATTTACTGCACTATACCTCAGATGTTGGTGTCTGGAATTTTATTTTTAAGAGACTGATTGATACATGACTGGGCTGTAGTACTGGAAGTTGCAGTTCATGTGTCTGTTGGCCTCTGGTCTAAAGCTGTGTCTAAAATATTTGGGGTGAGAATCCACTGAAGTACACAGTGTTGGAGATGGTGGCCATTTGATCTGCTGAACTAGTTTTGACTAATGACAAGCCTCTTTTTAAGAAGGTGAAAAGGAGGGGACTGTCCCAAAGATGAATGTGCTCTTCAAATATTGTCTAAAGAGGACATGGAACCTGAAATCAGTAAATTTTTGAATCTTAAAGTATTACCCCCACAACCAAGCCTGTGACTCATGTTTCACTTTGTGTTTATATTGTACTTACCCAATGAAAGATTTGTCTCTTGTGCTCCGTCCTACTAAAAACAGCTATTCAGAGTTTAGGAAAGAATTTTCTATAGAAAGAAAATGTAAATGTTCTGTTTTTATGAATGGCTTCTTCTACAGAATTCCTGTTTCCAAAGGGGAAACAGTTGTTCACTTCTCCTCCCCATGTCCTTCTGGGAATGTGAGCATCCTTTTCCACCTTTTTCATAGGAGTTGTTGGCTTTGACACCCTCTTTTCTCAGCATGCACACCAGGGACCATGGTTTTGACTCCAGCAATGTTGAAGGGGACACAAGGAACATCCTGAGGAGGAGTGGGAGGTAGAAAGGGGCAGGATTTCTCTTTCCAAGCACATGCTTGGCAGGTGGGGGAAGGTTTACAGTCCTCCTGGAAAGAAGAGGTTTGTGTGCATTTTTAATGCAAATGCTGTATACCCTGCTCTGTGAAGGCAGCTGGCAGTTTCCTGGAAGAAGAACGTGATTGTCTGTTCTCTGGCATTGAGTTTCCTGCAGCTGCTCTGAGGGAGAAACAAGTGAGCAGCAGAACTGCATGCCCCAGAAAACCAGACATCTTGTTGGAGAAGAGACATTCCATGTTGTTGCCATGGAATACAGGACTAGCAAAGAGCTCCTGTCCACATGTGACTGTCTTGCCATTCCATCCTTGGCATGCATTCTGTGAAGGAGATTGGTCAGTTCAAACTTGGCCAACATACGAAAATTCACTTTGAAACATTATGAGAGAGATTTCTTATTGAGGCTAAATGGTGCGTGCCCCAAAGGAATGAGTAAGAGCCACTTTTAGGATAGATGTTCAGCTTCACATGTGAAATAAGGCATCTCTGAAAAAGCAACCCCAGTGACAGCATGGTGGACTGGGGAAGGGGATCATCAGCTGGGCTTCATGGGCAGAGATTGCTAAATGAATTCACATATGAAAATGAAAGGGAAAAAGGTACTAGTCCAAAAGTCAGCTAATGTTTTATTTTGGATTTAGGGTTTTGGTATTTACTTTGAAATGCTAATGTTTGTGATGTTCAACAAAATCAAACTGATGTACCAAGTAATGAAACCATAGTGTGAATGCCTAACTCAGTAAGTTGAGAAGTCCAACTTCCTGTTTTCTGTCTTACTGGTTTCTCTTTTTTTTTCACCCTCCCCATCTCATGCTGGGAATAGAAATAATTGCTTTATAGGCAAAGAATGTGTTTAAGCAGTGCTCCATATTTTGACTCAGACATTGTTCCAGATAATGGAAATGATAAGCTGGAATTAAGATCAAGGTTCTGTAAGTCACAGGCTTTTAAACAATGGGGAAACAAGAAATAGAATATAGGGATGATCTCAATGAGTCCCTGGTTTTGAGAGTCAAGGGCTTGTATAGGTAAGTTAGATGGTGTCCTCTGGACAGGAAAACAAATGTAAATCCAAGGTTCCAGGTAACCAAGAAGCCTGCAGGTAGTTGAGGGTAGGGAGCTGGTTGTTTATCTTAACTCATCAGTACCCTACAGAAAGGACTTAGCACTTGACGCAGTCAGCTTTTCCAGGAGAGTGATCAAGGAGGTAAAATCCCAGGTCAAGGTGAGCTCTTTCAGAGATCAACTACAAGCAACGGTGACCGTCTGGATGGTCCCAGTACAGCCACATAATGGGCAGAAGAAACTCCAGAGAGCCCAGTCCTGGGCCTTTGAGCCACACTGATCTCTAGAAAGAATCAGAAGTTCATTCAGGTCCAGGCCCTGGTGGGAGACCCAGCCAAGTAATGGTTTAGGGTTGGCCAAAAAGTCCATTAATGTTTTTTCCATATGATAACTCTAGTAGTGCTTAGTTGCCTTTAACTTCACTTGAAACTGTTTTGTTAGATTGTATTGTGACATTGTCATATCGGCATGCATTAAAAAAATCAAAATTGGCGAATTTTTGTATAGCCATTTTAATATTGAAGATGGAAGAAAATATGCAACATTTTTGGCATATCATGCTTTATTATTTCAAGAAAGGCAAAAAAACGCAACTGAAATGCAAAAAAAGATTTCTGCAGTGTTTGGAGAAGGTACTGTGACTGATGAAACATGTCAAAAGAGGTTCGCAAAGTTTCTTGGTACTATTGATGTTCTGGCCAAACAGTTCTTTGCTGTGAGGCTGCCTTATGTGTTGGAAGATGTTTAGCAGCACCCCTGGCCTCTGCCCACTAGAAGCCAATATTGGGAGGCAGCTCGCTGACATTCTCAAAATATCCAAATCAATAAGGTTATTGGTGAAAATGAAAAATGTGTTTTTTATTTTATGAAAAAAAAAACCATGCAGACATTCTGGCCAACCCAATATTTTGAGACAAAAATGAAATGGGGCCATAAAGTCATGAGACAGAGTTTCTGGTTGACATATTAGCAGTAACTAAAGATAGTCCCAGATCAGAAGTTCAAAAAATGTCTTCAGCAATGACACTTGCTAAATGTCTAATGACAATGACATTATTGGAATCAATGTGTCATAACTTAAGTTCATGAATGTTTGTCAAAGTTTACTGCTACTCCTTTATAGCCACAATTTTTTGTTGTTGTTAAATAACAACTTCTAGTCTCAAGTTCCCTGACTTAAGTGTAAGTAAACAGAAAAGCTGTCCCCCTAATGTGGGATCCCTAATGTGGGATTATTTGATTTTTTCAGACCCCTGCCCCAGGGTTGAGCATCTTTTCTTAAAAGGGTGGGGGGGATTGATTTTCTTGGAGAAGAAATAAGATACCCTCCTCCCCAAAGAGAGAAAACCCGGCTGTCGGCAACTGCTTGAGTACTAATTTGGCTCTCTTAGCGGTAGGAATTACTCTTCATGTCTTCATTGGAGAGAAGTGGGCAATGCCAATGTGAAGGTTATTAGACTCTTACATTGTTAGTGAGAACTGCTACCCCTATTTAACAGATGGTATGCCTTTGGGGGCACTAGTGTTGCAGGACAGTTGTAAAGATAAAGAAGGTTTAGTTTTAAATGGCAGTGACATGTCCTCTCAGTGATGGGGATATCGTAAGTCATGGTGGGGACCCTGGCAAACTGAAAGGCTCTTCTCCCACCTACAGCAGGTATTTACTCCTGCCAGTTGTGGCCACCCATGGTTGCCTGATCTTCCTATATTTCAAAAGAAGCTGGGAAGCTGCATTTTTATATGGAAAAATCTGATTTGCATGTAGTGTAGTAGTAGTCTGTTCAGACCCAGCAGAACACATGGGTGGACCTGATTTGGCCCACTAGCTGCCAGTTTGTTACTCACCTTTGCTTTATAAGATTTGAAATTAAAGGCATACATGGTAATTAGAGATGTCTGATACCACCAGAAAACGCTCTTGCTAAACACAGTCGGTAGCTGGATTGCTTCTTTCCCTCATTGCTTCCCCAAAGAAATTTCATATGACTGTGGATGTATTTGAAATATTTTGATTGCTGCTTTATATTTCATGGTGTCTTAAAAGAAAGGTAAGCTAGTTATTAATTTTAAAATCAGGTTTATGTTCTTCTCATTTAAAAATAGGACATTTAAAACAATTTTCCTTAAACTCTACAGCCTGGAGGACTTGATTTATCATTTTAGCTCTTGACTTAATCAGTTTTTTAGGTGGTGTGCGATTCTGCGCTTAGGCCAAGACTTAAGGAAGCACAGGCATTGTGGGTAGTAGGGCAAGGAGTGAGTGTCCACTAGAGCCAGGTATTTGCATTGTCTTCCACTTTAAATGACCTGTGAATTGACTCTGTTTTGGAAGTGTGAAATCATATAAGGAGAAAAGCTTTTCCTGGTATTGAGATACCAGTTAGGAGCCATCATTGGGGTATGGGGTCATACTTGCTGTATTACCTCCTTTCCAGGCTCAGGGTGAAGATAAAAGCAAGTCTGACTGTAAGCCAATAGCTTTGATTTTGATTTCAGAGTTTTGGGGGTGGGAGAAAGTTTGGATTATCTAGCATGCTCCCCCTGACGACAGACAGGGCTGCGCCTGAATTATTTCAAACATATGGCTGTGGATGGGATTCTGGGTTTTCAAAAAAGGAGATTCTGTAACTTATCCTGCTGATCAGATAGTTCTTTGTATGTCTTCCTTATAGAAATTCAAATCAGCCTTCTTTTGTTCAGCGTGCAGTGGAAAAAGAACAGCTGGTCACCTTCCCTGTATTTGAAAACCACAGTGAAGTCATTCCCCTGGTGTTTTTATTTCAGTGATAAATAATCCCACCTACTTATGCCATTCTTCATAGCTCTTATTTTCTAAGGGCTTAGTAATTTTCACTGCTATTCTTTTTCTCAGCTTCACACTCAGTTTAGTTGCCCAAGTAGAATCTGGTGCCTGATTCACGTTGGTGCTTTATGTAGGCCAAGCTCAGAATGGGGATTACAGGGAAATTCTTATGTGCCAGCTTCTCTTACTACTTAAAAATATAATGTCACTTAAAAAATATCACCCTTATTCATTTTGAGGAGTGTTTGATTGCCACATTTTTTCTTGGCAATAGTAGTCCTTATATATGGGATTTCCTCTGCCTCTTGTGGTCAGTGTTTGGTACTCATTCCTGATGCGTTTAATGTAATTCTTGAGCTGCTTCAAGATACTCTTCAAGATCAGCTCTTACCTTCTGAGTGGCAGCTATCCCTACCTCCCAATTTTGGATTCTGTTTTTACATATCTCTAACATCTCCTTTAATTCATGAGTCACAATATTATTCAATGGTGTAGACTTCAGATTGACCACTGATGAGCTAGACAGTAGTTGCTAAGGGATAATTTGCAAAGAGGTCAAGTGAAGACCTCTTGGTAATTTTGATCAGTTGTCTTCTCTCCTGGTCTTTGGTTCCTCTCCAAAATTCAGCTGTGACCACAGACTCCCCCAGGAGCTTTTTTATGTTCTAAAAGGCTGCAGCTATGACTCTGAACTCACCCAGCCCTGTGAGTCTGGAAAAGCAAACACACAACCAGAAGTCTAACAAAAGTAAATCTCTGTGACTGGTTTATGTCATATAAAACTTCAGTAGATAAGATTTAAAGAAGCAATCTTTTGTTCATACATGATGTAGACAAAGCTGACCACTCCATTCATTATACACACAAAAAATTACCACTGGGTAATACTAATATGTAAACATCTGTTTTTTTTAAGGTTTTATTTGTCTTGAAAAAAGCATAGTGAGTGTGGACAGAGAAAAAACTTTTGTAAAAACCAAATGTGTTCACTTAGAGAGTAGGTAACTTCTATTTTCACTGTTAGTTTTTTTTTTTTTTATCCCTTTCCTACTACAGAAGCTCCCTGTTAGTGCATTCCAGGGGGAAAGCCTGTGGAGCATGGTGGTTACTGCCATTGTCCTTGTTTCATCACTAAGTGTGTCCCTTGTGGTGGAATAGTGAGCACTGACAGACTGTAGCAGTGTGCTGTATTTTTACATTGGAAACAATGTCTTTTGATTTGTACATAATTCTGAATAGGTGACAGTAGATCACAGCTGACATTTGCAAAATGATGTTTTTGTACCTTTAGAATTTTTGCATCAAATAAAGTGTTTTGTTTTAAGAATGTGGTGGTTTATTATTATAGATCATCTTTACAATTTCCTGAATAGCTATGGTTCCTAGCCCAGTTTTCTGAGGGTTCTCCCTCTGAGAAGGGTGGCAATTATCCAGGGTGAGGAGGTGAGGGTGGCCAATATGTCTTGCACTTTAAAGTAAGAGAAAAGGAACCTGCTGCCTTTGACCATTTACCTCGCCCTCCAGTGGGCAAGTGCCTATTGCCTCTGTGGTGTCTGGAGCAGGAACAGGAATACTTAAATCAAGAAGAAACTTGCTCTGGCCGAGTGGCTCAGTTGGTTGGAGCACCATCCCATATACCAATAGGTTGTAAATTTGATCCCCAGTCAGGGAACATACCTAAGTTGTGGATTTGATCACTGGTCAGGGCACGTATAGGAGGCAACGGATTAATGTCTGTCGGTCTATGCCTGTCTCTCTCTCTCTGTGCTCCCCCCCCCCATTTTACTGTCTAAAATCAACAAACATCCTTGGGTGAGGGTTAAAAAAAAGGAATAAGAAACTTGAGTCTCAGAACAAGTGGACTTTCTTTGTAGAACTTTGAAAAGAACCTTGGAAATTTGGAAGCCACTAATGTATTTCCTGTCATTAATAGAAAAAGAAATACCTGTTGATTCTTCTAACACATATCCTCTCACCTCCTTTGGGCTCTGTGCTCTTGAGTTAATTTCTTGGAGTCACTGGCATCAGGGTCAGTTCCTAGTTCTACTACCATCACTGTGAACACACAACTGCATTTCTGGGCCTTAGATTCTCACCCACAGAATGGACCAATCAAAGGCTCTGCTTCACAGGGTGATGTACATAAAGTACTTGCGTGTAGTACAGTTGCCTCTTGACCAATATGAGTTTGAACTGTATGGGCCCCCTTATCTGTGGATTTTTTTTCAATAAATACAGTCAGATAAGATGCACACATGATCCCTCCATATCCCCAGGTTTTGCATCTGCTGATTCAGCCAACCACAGATGTGGAGGGCCATTACCTGAAGGATATGGCAGAGGTTAGGTCTTTGGAGCATAAGATTTTATTTTATTTTTTTAGAGAGAGAGGGGAAGGGAGGGAAAGGAAGAGAAACATCAATTAGCTTTGCAGGATGACGCCCAGCCAACTGAGCCACACCTGTTGGGGGAGCATAAGATTTAAAAAATTGTGTTTTCCTTGTTTACTTGTTCCTTCCCCCTCTTTCCCTCCCTCCCCACAGAATGAGTGGTAAAACAGCTCTGAGTGAAGCACTGTTGGTTCCTGAGAAGAAATTATATCAAGTTCTTGCCTCATATACCGTGGCATAGCCTCACTGCTACTCTTCAAGGTGGGTAA